TGTCGCCGAGGCTAGAGTTTACCTCAAGATGTTGAATTCGGGGCTTCACGTCCTTTGGGGGCAATGGCAAACTTGAAGGCTCATAAGGTCCGTCAATGATTTCGATGTCATCGCCATAATCATTTGCCTCTTCCTTGCTTGAGTTATTCGGTGTCGATGGCGCTATGCCCATTGCCTGCAATATGTCTAAGGTTCAAAATGGGTGAGTGGCGTATATCCGTAAAAATAATATGGCCTACCCAAGCGCGTGTATTTAAACACAAATACAGTCGTAGGACGGTCATCCGGTTTGAACGCGACGCGGGATGTGGAACGACCTGGTTGATAATGCGCTTGTCGGGGAACTTCTTCTGCGAAGCTTAACATATGATAGTTATCAAGAGTGAGACATAGGGTGAAATTCTACGCACATGACACGATGAGCACATGCCTTCTTAGACCGTTCATGTACCTTGCCTTCTCGCACATGGAGGGTATGATTTTTCGATTTAACTACCTGCTTCGTCCTAAACTCCCCCGTTTCTACCCTCAACACAATCTGGCCTATGTCCTTCGAACTTTGATCATCAAGCATGGAGTCATCGTCTGAAGTTTAGTGTTACGAGGAGGTTCTATACTCCTTTTGCATACTGACCAGTAAGCTGAATGTTTGAAAACATAAAATCTCTGGTGACTGATTTATTGCTCAAGTATGTGCGTTCCTTTGTGCCGACCCAGCCTGGGCGCACAGTCTGTCCAGAACAGCGAACACCGTCGACAGAGACAGCTGCTCGGATGACCCAGGACTGCTCGGCTGCGTTCATCCACCTGACTCCAAATTTCTGGTAGAGGCATGTAAGGCTTCCGCCAGTATATATGATGAATAACACACCTTGCCCTCTTCCGATGCGATCCAGCAGGTTATTATGTTCTCTGTTGGTGTGCTGGAAGCAACAACAGTATACTCCGAGAGCTCCTGGTCGTCGATGAATACATGAGCAGACAAGTCTCCAAATATCATGATGTACAGCAGATGTGAAGCAATACTTATTGCAAGACTTATGAGAGATGCGAATTCGGTAAGTAGGCAAGTGACAAGTCAAACGGTTTGACTATATGTATTACCGGCATGGACGATTTCCAAACAATGGCGTCACAAAACACGTGATGAAATTCAACAAAGCCTGACACCGGCCCCTGACATGGACAGCCATGCTCGATTTTGACACAAATGTGGCAATTGCTTCCTGTAAGACCCCCCAATAAGTAGTTTCCTCTTTCTCTCCCACTAAAAACGTTACGCGGTTAAGAACTGCCTCTCCACCACCTGCTACTGAATAGCTTGTGCAGTGCCTTGTTTGAGCCTTGGAAAGTGAGGGACGTTGCATGTCATTCGGTGAAATGGTATCGAATCAAGCGCCGGCGGAGTCACAATAGTACGCAAACATAGTAGCAAGTGTTCGAAGTCACCTGCAAGTCGTGTTCGCAATTCGAAAACGCGCTAAATCAGCTCACTGTCAATGAAATCGTCTCCGCTGTTGGCCAAGCAGCTGCAATAGAATAGGTATACAAAATTCAATCGGACGTTGAAAATAGTGCCAGCATCGCTGTACTGTCAGAAAAATCCGAGACCAGCAAGCAAGGACAACGCGTCACGTGCTTTTGAGAACCTTTTGTTGAACGCTGAACGCGTTACGCGACCAATCCACAGTAATCAAACAGTAACAGCGAGCTCATTTTACGACATTGCCAAGGACGATCGATACAAAACTCAACGGAAAATGAATACCAGGCGTGCCAGGCGTGCCAGGATTGCAGATACAGATGATCATGACTCGGACTCAGGCGGCGATACTGAACCAGATACACCAAGACCGACACTTCGACAGGGCAGCAAGAAACGGATCAGCGACATGTACGGAGGTGAGAGTGAAGCACACTCTGACACTGGACGCCTTCCACTAAGGGCGGTCAACATCAATGACGACGCGGCTGAGAAGCGCAGGCGGAGGAAGAGCAATAAACTAGCCGTCATAGAAAACGCGGAAGCTGGGCCTTCGACAGAGCGTCAAGATCAGGCAGAATCTTCCAAGGCTGCGCAGGCGAAGCTGAAGCAACAGCAGCTCAACTCTGTGGCCCCACCTCCTGTCATCAACGTACCCCTAGATGTCATGAGCTCCAACTTTGAGGAATGGATGAAAATGGCGACAGACAACGTGCGTGTATTAGTGTATAATCTAGATCTTGCTACTTATCATAATGATCGCCAGAAAATCAATGCTGCGAACTCATGGAACTTCGCGCTGATCGATTACTTCCATGATATGTCGCTGCTCCGAAATAATATCGACAACTCCATCAACTTCCAGCGCGCTTCATGTACCCTTGATGGCTGCGTCAAAATTTGGACCAGTCGCGTCGACTCTGTTGGCACAGAAACAGGGAAGCTGCTCAGCAACCTCGCCAACGAAGGCATGGTCGGCGCAGAAGACGATGACGCGCTGTCGGACAATCCTGATAGTCAAGACGCGACACAGGCGAAGAAAAAGAAAAAATCGCATCGACCCGACTCGACGCTCGCTAAAGACGCCTCACAGCTTCACAGCAAGAAGCTAGAACTTGACCTCGGCATTGACCCCCTTTTCCGCAAAACTTGCGAAGATTTTGATGAGGGGGGCGCACAGGGTCTGCTCATGAACCACCTTAGTTTGGGGGTTGGAAGTGATGGTGGCATGCGCGTCGTCTTTGACGCGAGTGATTCCATGGGCCGAGTGGCGGAAGATGAAGAAGATGAGGAGGAGCGGGAAGAATATGTGGACATAAGTTACCTACGAGGTATGTTGCAAAAGTCCTCTTGGATGATAAAATACTCATCCTTGTGTTAGGTCAATTTTTTCCTGACTTAGATGTTCTTGACGACAAGGCGATCTCCCATTCACTGGCCGACTTCTCATTCGCCAAAGACAGTAATCACACATTTGACGACTCTCTTTACCGTGATGATACAGTTAACAATCAAGCTGGCGACGAAGATGATGATGATCCGGGCTTCGGAGACTACGGCGCAAATGATGCACCCATGGATGTTGATGGCGATCGTGATGGCCAAGATTTCTTCCAGGGCGACCAAGCTGTTGATGATGATTATGATGGTGGGGATGCTTTTGGAGGGGGCGACTATGGGGGCGGTGAGAATGGGTCTGTCGGCGCTGAAGGTGATCAACGACATGCGGTACGACCAGGAGGCGCACTTGTCCCTTTCGACCCACGACATGCGCCAAACAAGCCAGATCGTGTGATAGCCATTACAGACGCGGACGGAGAAAACGTGATGATGGGTTACTTTGATAAGAACCTCATGAAAAACTGGGCGGGTCCTGAACACTGGAAGTTGAGGAAAGTCATTCGGAAACGTGAGTCCTTCAGCTCAGTCGGATCTGCTATATCACTGATGTCGCGCTACAGCAGAGGCTGATGCCCCCAAACCCCGGCGAGAAAAAAAGGAAGCATTTAAGATCGACTTCCTGACGCCCGCCGAGAAAGACATCAAGACGATTGCAAACGAAATGTTTGCGAAAGTGACGCGGGGAGCTGGTATCACTTTGCCCAGCTACGGAGGTTCAAAGACTGGGAAAAAAGGTCGGGGCGGCCGCAAAGCGAAGGAGGAGAAGCGTGATGAACATACTCTTCCTGATGACATGCATTTCTCAAGCAGGCAACTCGTTACTCTTTTCCTGAAGCCCAAATTCTCGGTAAGCGCAATCATTTTTGTGACGACTTGAATTGACATCTGTACACTTCCAGTTGAAGATGCGTGGGCAACCTGTCAGGTTTAATGAGAACGGCGACGGAGAGGTCGACGAGCAATTTTGGGCACAGGCTGCGGCGAACCAAGCTGCAGAACGTGCTGCAGCTGAAAATGATGAAAGTAAGAATATTTTGTATTCACGCTTTATATGTTTTAAACTCATTGCTCCGCAAGCCGGTGATGGACTAAATATACCATTCAATACCCAGTTCTTCGACAATGACTACGATGACGGCCCGGGCTTTGATGATGGTTTTGATGGCGACGGTGCAGCGCTGCAGGATGCTGGAGAGCAGGATCTCTTGGCTGCCACGCAAGGTCAGACGCGGCGGGTTCGACCAGAATTTGTCAATTATGCCAAGCGTGCCAAACGGGTAGATGTGAGGAAACTGAAAGAGAATATTTGGAAAGGCTTGGATATCAAGGTTGGGAAGCCGAAGGAGGGTGAAGAAGACGACGATATGGTTTGTCTCTTTTGAATTACCCCTCCTTCTCTGCTCACTTGCTTCCAGGATGTTGATGATACATCTCTTACTAACCCCGAAGAACATAGAGTTTTCAGCTCCGTGATTTCTGGACTACAGAAATCGTATCCGAAGGACAAGATGGAAGAGATCAGCACGAGCTTCTGCTTCATATGTCTACTGCATCTTGCCAATGAGCAGGGACTGAAGCTACAGACTGCTCCCGGTGGCCAGCTAGACCAGGAGGAGAATGAAGTCATGGACTCTGAAGACAGAGACAAAGTGGGAGATATATGGAGTTTAAAAGTGCGCCCACTGCTTCTTTCATTGATCATCGCTGACCCTTTGCGCCCATAGGTGTTTAGGGACCCGGATGCTACCTCGGCTGCTTAGTTGCAGACCAATGTAGTTCTTGGTTTGCGGTCGACTTATCGATATTTTTATTTCCATATGCTACTAGACCATTTCTGTGTTGTTCTTGCTTTCTCTTATTTTTCCTACTAGTAATCTGTTGTATACCGCGAAATGAACGTAAAGTTTTAAAATTCTACCAAGTTACAGTTTTGCATTCAGGTACTAAGGCTACAGTGTGACAGTGTGTATCATAATGTGAGGTGGTATCTAGTTCTAGCTACAATTCGGGATGGGGAAATGATAAAGTGTTAAAAATACAAGTAATTCCGTGTAGTCTTGCTCAGCTGACCACAGCACGCAAAATAAATCGACGTCTTCCATAGAACGGACCATATTCAGCGCAACTTGGCTTTCCAGGCGCGCCACAAATTCTCCTGTTTCTTCTGATGCTTGGCTTTGAGCTGCAGGAACTCCTGATATTCCTGTGCAGGCAGTTCAATCATGTCCGTGGTGGTGGTGCGAAACGGGAAGACGGTAAGAAGATCTGAGGGGGCGATGCGCGCCTGAGGGACAGATGAAGCTAGGAACAGGTGGTCGCCAAAAGGCGTATAAGTGTACACATCTAACCATCGGTCTCTACGACGGTGAGAGTGGTCCGATGCGGCTGTGTAGGCAATTTTTAAGAGATTTGTTCTTGAGCAGTTTCAGTGGGTACGTACCTTGTACGAGTTGTATGATCATCACTTGGTGTTGCACAACAGCGATGGCGACTGTTCCGCGATTCATGATAGATAGCGGTGAAAGATAATTGATGCAATGGCAAATAATACAGCAAAAGAGACGGCTCTCTGGTAGTAAACAGAGCCTGGATGATTGAGACTTGGGAACGCTTGGGATATAAACTTGCTGAGATATCCCCAGCTATATGAGCATTTCTGTCGCAGGTCAATATAATCACAGTGACATGTACAAGTGTCTGTCAATTCAGTGGCCCTTGTCATACATACAACATTCGATTCCCTTGTCCAGTGAAGAATAAAAACAACCTTGTGGCCCGCCAAAGTAGTCCAACACGTGACGGACAACAAGCTAATGACCAAAAGGGTTTGCTCCTTCTGTTACTCTTGAAAAGAAAGTACAACGGCGTAGAACTTTAGAAGAACGCTGACTCGGAGGTTACTCGGGGTCGAAAATTGGACGATAAGGATATTAATTACGCATTTTGGAGTTTGACTTTCATTGAAACCGAAGATCCTTGAATTGCAGAATAAGAATTCGGGTATGATCCGATGGATAGCTACGAAAACAAGACGACAGAAAGCATGATGCATAACATTGAATATGAAGGAAGAGGAAAGTGTAATGGCTTGCAATAGAATGAATCTGCACGCGAGTAGTGGCCGCCGTTGGCAAAGTTGGAAAGAAATATTGGTCCTGTGACAGAAGCACATGAGATTGCGCAAGAGATAAGAAATCGAACTCTCGGTAGCGAGGGAAGTGAACTGAGCCTGAGAAATTTGAATTGAACACTGTCTCCCACCTCAAAATGAAACGGGCCTCAGGATTGTCAAGCTCTGCTGGATGCACCCCGCATCTGTCGCCGAAGTTGTAACTGAGGCTGCCAACTTCCTTGCGACACGTGCTCTAAACTGATGAGTATGAGTTCTTCAAATTTTATGTGATGGGGGCTAATCCTCCACATAGGATCAGAGTCGTCCTCCACGCGGTGATTCGCCATTTTCTGAAAAAAAATCGTCAAAAGAAATGATTAGAGACAAACGTGAAGTGTCACCTGAATAAATTTGCGTATGCAGGTTGCAAGTTTCTTTGCAAGTTTTGCTTTAGTGATAGGGCCTGGTGTCTTGCGACAGTCTCTGGTAGGGAGCTGATAACTCCAGGGAGGATAACCAGGCCACTGTCATTCAAGCAATTAGTTCATAAGGTCCATCAAGATATCGCCATGTTCTCGACAGACCTCTAATCTCACTGAGATAGATCGGCCGCCCCCTTCGAACACCAGGTCATCCCTATCGCTGAGACATCTCGAATTTTTGAGAATCTCTTCCAAGGCTATACCCAGCTCATGTGGCTTCTCTGCGTAGAAGAGGATAGGCAAAGATAAATTCGCTGCTTGCACGTATTTCTCTCGCTCAGTTTCTCCTCGCGGCTGATACAATCTTTGAGGAACACGAGTAGCGGTATCAATCGGGACTATTGCACGCTGGAAATCCCGTTCCGAATCGTCGACACGTTGATCGAGACTACTTTCCCCGGTATCCTTGTGCAATTTCGATAAGAACGCACTGAATCAAACAAAAAAAACTTACCCGGCTCTCCAATGGAGGAAACTGGCTGGTCTCATCGAGATCATTCATATAGTCTCCGTATACACCATCTGTGATGCCGGAAACATGCAGCTGCTGCACTTCACAATCACGCTTCGGTAGTGGGACGCAACTGTCGAAAGTCGTTATGAGGGTTGCAAAGGTATCCCATTCCAGCCAAAGCTCTGAAGTAGGCCGCGGAGACTGTTCCAGAAATCCTGCAGAACGTGGTGACTTCGAGGATAGTTGGTTCGAGAATTTGACATTTCAAGAAGAAAAGAGGCAACTGACATTACCAGCCAATGTACGATTGTCCGGCGAAGCCAGCCAAATCGTCCCGCCGTTCAACGATATAGGTACTTCAGGGGTGGCAAGCTTGTCGAAAGAAAAGGTATTGGCGTTGTTGAACGACATGGATGATGAATACTGTACGTCTGATGGCCACTTCTACGATTCCTTATGAATCTCGTCGGTCAACTTTTGTACCGACACGGAGGATTGAGTGACTGATTGAATATTCCAGATGTAGCGCACACCCAAACAGTCAGTCTCCTTGGGAGAACCATAAGCTGCAAGTTGCTGTAAAAAACTTCTACAGCTCATGGAATGTCGGGTATAATGGCGACCCGAAGTGACACCCTTGAGGCTGAACTTAGAAACTTGGGTAGCACGGTGATCCCAGGTCTGCCTTTGTAGATGACTCTAGATATCCATTAGCTCAGACCGTAAACACATGATATATAATTTTTTTTCACTTACAGTTACGAGTGTAATTTACGAGAAAATTGACGTTAGCAGGGTTGCTTCACCCCCTCCACTGGCGTGAAAGCCCCCACGGCAGGATAAAACTCTTTGCTGGAACTCCGGTCTTATTCTGGCATAATATCTCCGATCGCCGGCATAAGACTTCAGGTTTCATGCATACGTGACTTGGCAGGAAGGCAGTGTGCCGTGGTTATTCCGCCGAGTGACACAAATTCCGGAACAGAATTCGTAAGATGATGATGACATGTTGGTGTACATTTGGCGTACATGCGTTTATAATGGTGAACTGCCATTCAGCTCCACAACGGACATGAAACTGTAAATGGTATAATTAAGCCGCTAAGTGGGGGTTGGTGTCCCTAGTAGGTGAACCATCGGAGTCGGATAAGTACCACTTGAATTCCAGATTAGAACAATTTTACTCTTGATGTTGTTTCTGCGGAGGTGATTTTGTACGTCATACTTTCGTTCGACCAAGAAAACGGGTCGCACTCCGTTCAATTTCTCGAGGAACTGGGCGGGGAAGCGGCCCGGGGAAGGTGATATCTCTAAGAAAGGTTTGAATAGGTCAATGTATCAGATGGCAGTACATTGTCTAGTTTCATACCTAAATGAATTTGGTCGGCGTAGAGGGCCCGGTGCGATGTGAGTATGTGCATTAGCCAGACTACAACCTGACAACGCGAACCGTGCAATTTACACGCACTTCTGAGCCTTGGGGGATAAGATGTTACGAGATGTCATTTGAATATCCATGACTATCGGAGTTGGTTGGGTCACATCTGCCAGGCAGGGTGAAAAGAATGAGTAAGCCTTAGAATCAAAGAATATGAGGAACGTTGCTACACAGCAAAAAGGTAAGACGTGACGATGCAATTAGACCGTCTGCACTGTCTGCATTTCACAGTCGCATTCCTGGCTTGACTTTAGACGTTTTTTTATATCTTTTTCAATATTCTGGTTAAGATAGATATCGGGGGGGCCTAATTCAGAAGGAACATTGTGTGCAAGACTCGGATACTGTGTCTTCAAGCGGAGTTGAAAGACAGCTGCCCACAACCTGAAGCCTGAAGCTTTGAAGCCCAAGGTGCCCGCTTCCCCAGCGGCATCTTCGATATATATGTGTAGGCGCGCGCCACCCAAACTATGCCTGGGGTCAATAAGCTTATTTCCTCCCCAGTACTCAGTGAGTCACTGCTCGTTCACGTGCATCTCTGGCATTGCATCGCTGTGATGGCGCTGTCTTGCATTGAAATGCCGACCAACTCCGAGTCAATGATCACGGTGAGCTACACTTTATTACTTTTATGTCAATATTTGATGGTTGCAAGAGCATAAATCAATCATAGTAATTGTATTCGCACCATGTGAAAGCCTAAATGCAAATTTCATTCAATTGAGTTTGCTGTCGTACACGACGAGCATGAGTGCGGCGGGAGAGTGTCTTGTTCGGGAGGTGTCAGCAGCTTCAAACTCCGCAATCTGATGTACTACGCTACACGATGGGCAACACATTGCGTACAACATAGAATGATCGTCGCACAATAATATTTGAGGGGAAAAAAATCAGCCCAGAACCTCAAAGCCCAGGCATTAGTATCAACTCGAATCCAGTAGCCTGAGAGGCCCGTACAAAACACATATCGCGTACTTTCATAGCGGTACAACACTCCATAGAACATTTTGAGGAAACATCGAAAGCAAAGAAATATATGAAGCGAGTTTTAACGCCTGAGCCGAACTGTAGGTCATGGTATCATCCTGGTAGGGTATTCCGTCCTTCAGTGCTATGCGATGGAAAGTGGGACTTGAGGTTGAAGGCGCCGGAGTTGAATGTCACCTAGTGCAGTGCGTAGACGTAGCTGAGGCTGCCAACTGCCCTTAGAGATGTGGTGCAGGGACACCAAGATAAGGTCCTCCATTCTGATGTAGCGTGTTCCAACCCTCCACCTACGGTCTGCCTCCATCTCCATACGTTCTTTTTCCTTTTCCTGGAATCAATGTGAGATTGATTTACAGACGATACACACAAGGATCGTGAAACATACTTCGATGAATCGTTTCACGCAGTTGGCGATAGTTTTAGCCAACTTAGCTCTGGTGATAGGGCCTTTCGGACTTTTGAAGTCCAACGTGGGGATCTGCCTGGTCCATGCACGATACCCGGGCCACTAAAGGCGTGAATGTGAGGAAACAGTCGAGCCAGGGAAGAAATAGCATACCTGAAGCCGGATGGACACGGAGGGCCCGCAGTTCTCGAACATGTTGTCATCTTTATCGAGAAGGTCTTTCATCTTTGCTTTCAGGGCGTCATCGAGTGCTATGCCCCACTGGTCAGGATGTGCTGTCTTAAAGATGATGGGCTCCTTGAAATCGGCTTTCTCGATGTAGCGGACACGATCTGCCTCAGTATATGGTTGATATATCGACTGAGGAATGTAGACGGTGGTGCCTGTGACGATAATCGCTTGATCGCGAATGGCTTTCCATTTTACGACATGTTCCATTGGTTGAGGCGCGTCTTCCTGTATTCATCCATCTTTTAATAACATGTACGTCAATCGAATCAATTGCTACGAACCTCGTCGTCGTCGAAAGCCTGCAAAAAAGACCCCTCGTCAGAGCTACCCATGGCGGCGGGCGAATGAGGTGATATTGGGGAGAGAATAGGAGACAGGCCCTTCGACTTCTGACGCATAGATTGTCAGTGATTAGTATGATTGGTTCATCGAGACATACTGAATGTGAGAATGCAGGAAATTGAATGTTTGAAGGAGGTGATGGAGTTCCTAGGGGTGCATGGACATGAAGGCGACCATCTGCCCAAGAATAAGGAGCCTGGGGCATCATCGACCCTGCTGGAGTCGTCGAAGAATCCGATACTATCAATAACCGCGGCAGAGCAGCCTTCGTATCAATGCGAGGAAGCCCATTCCTAGTAGCATCTTGACTGGGTGAAGAGAACGGTACATTGAACCCGGACTGTAGCTGTCCAGGGAATTCAACATGACCTGAATAGAAAGCATCCTCGTGAGTGGCAGTAAATGGTACATCGTGGTACTCGAACAGTAGCTGACCATGAAAGTCGTGACCTCCATTCGTGTGGCCGGTTTTCTGCATGATGAGGTGGTGAGCGAGGCAACTACCGTATAGGAAAACGCGCACATGAGTAACAGATTGTAGGGGATCCGGTAGCTGTGGTTGCTGCCCGAAATGACTGTGATCATCAGCGCTGCAAAGGTCTGGAAAAGAGTCGGATGGAGGTGCGTCACTCATCGTGGGGAATGGTCTGGGATGGGAAAGAGGCAGGTCAGTGAAGATATACCTAGCCAGTGGCACAGTTGTGTATAGATACTCACATGATGGCAGATTCAGATCAGCAAATCAAATGATCAGCCGCATCAAAACATCATGATGGATCTATCTGGCCCCTGTGCAAAATTCAGCATTGACTGCATCATGCGATGGTTTAGTATAGCGCGCAAGTTTTGCATCGGTTTTGCATCAGAGCTGGCAGTTGCTAGGGACCAGGGTGTCACCTTACCCGGGCCAAAATTCTTGGCTAATGATGATCTTATCACCTGGTGTGACCCAGACAGACGCCTGAGAGGGGGAGGATGAAAGGTGCACGTTAGAGGGATGATTGGCAGTGTACCCTGGGTGAGAGTGATGTGAACCATGCGGCCTCATCGAGATGGCAGAAGGGTCATCAGACCTCCTGTGTTAGAACCATGACTACAGAGCAAAAAAGCGATTCGTTTGTTAGGGGCATGCGGCCTATGACGGAGGCTGAGCAGATAAGTCTGCTTCTATTCGATGTTTCTGACATCGCTTGAAAACAGCGACACATGATGTACATGAAACGCACCATAAATATCCTGTGACTCGTACGTGCACGTGGTACCGAAATATTGACTCAGCACTGACTCTACTGAGCGCGCTAGCCTTCGACAAGCACATAAATTTGTAGTATAGTCCTGTTGTGCAGGGTATATGCATCAATGTAGAAAGTTACATACAATATTGTCCTATCGTTTGAGGTCATTTGATAGCTATCGAAATAGTTACAAAGCAGCAAGAAAAGACCGAATAAAGCCTATAGCGGAATGTCACGGCTATACATGGCAAACGGCACGGTAAGCGAGTAAAGTACGAAAACCTGGAAGCCCGGCGTTAAAAAGGTATAAGTCTAACGGCAATGAGAGGCTCGCGCAAAGCGTATCTAAAACGTGAAACTCCATAAACGACAAGCACATTTTGAGAACACATCAAAGAACAAAAGGCACATTTAGAGACATGGAGCGAGTACCAAAGACTCGAACGGAACAGGCAAGAGCATGGTAGCATCCAGATGGCACCCAGAGTATTCACCGCAGACTGAGCATTGGAATTGGCGAGGAATTTTCTTTACCTCTGTGAATAGGTCTATGCGGAAGGCGGGGCTTGAGGTTGAGGTTGAAGGCGCCGGAGTTGAATGTCAACTAGTGGAGTGCGTAGACGTAGCTGAGGCTGCCAACTACCCTTAGAGATGTGGTGCAGGGACACCAAGATAAGGTCCTCCATTCTGATGTAGCGTGTTCCAACCCTCCACCTACGATCTGCCTCCATCTCCATACGTTCTTTTTCCTTTTCCTGGAATCAATGTGAGATACAATTTACAGGCGATACACAAGGATCGTGAAACATACTTCGATGAATCGTTTCACGCAGTTTGCGATATTTTTAGCCAATTTAGCTCTGGTGATAGGACCTTTCGGACTTTTGAAGTCCATCGTGGGGATCTGCTTGGTCCATGCACGATACCCGGGCCACTAAAGGCGTGAATGTGAGGAAACAGTCGAGCCAGGGAGAAATCACCATACCTGAAGCCGGATGGACACGGAGGGCCCGCAGTTCTCGAACATGTTGTCATCTTTATCGAGAAGGTCTTTCATCTTAGCTTTCAGGGCGTCATCAAGGGCTATGCCCCACTGGTCAGGATGCGCTGTCTTAAAGATGATGGGCTCCTTAAGATCGGCTTTCTCGATGTAGCGGACACGATCTGCCTCAGTATATGGTTGATATATCGACTGAGGAATGTAGACGGTGGTGCCTGTGACGATAATCGCTTGATCGCGAATGGCCTTCCACTTTACGACATGTTCCATTGGTTGAGGCGCGTCTTCCTGTATTCATCCATCTTTTAACAACATGTACGTCAATCGAATCAATCGCTACGAACCTCGTCGTCGTCGAAAGCCTGCAAAAAAGACCCCTCATCAGAGCTACCCATGGCAGCGGGCGAATGGGGTGACATTGGTGAGGGAATAGGAGATAGGCCTTTCGGCTTCTGACACATCGATTGTCAATGATTAGTGTGATTGGTTCATCGAGACATACCGAAGGTGAGAATGTATGATACTGAGTATTTGAAGGAGATAATGGGGTTCCTAGGGGTGCATGGACATGAAGGCGACTGGCATCTGCCCAAGAATAAGGAGTCTGCGGCATCATGGACCCTGCTGAAGTCGAAGAATCAGATACTATCGATAACCGCGGCAAAGCGGCCTTCGTATCAATGCGAGGAAGCCCGTTCCTAGCAGCATCTTGAAAGTGTGAAGGGAATGGTACATTGAACTCGGACTGTAGCTGGCCAGGGAATCCAACGTAATCTGCATAGTCATACGTATCCATCGGACTCATGTGCTGTGTATTCTGGTGGTGAGCGAGGTGACAAGCATACAAAAGCATACATACAGGAGCAAGGGGATACGAAGCTCTTGGTATTTGTTGTTGCTGCTGCTGCTGCTCCTCAAAATTCAAACTCGCCCATACATCATTTTCTGAACTGAAGACGCCGCCGAAGCTGTTGTATGAGGGTGTGTCACTCATGGGTAGATGATGTCAAGAAAGATTGGGTTCCCCGGTTGAGAGCTCCATTTATATGACATAGAATGGGTAAAAAATACAGCTAGTTGCTGTGCTGAGCCAAGGGGGGTGGCTGATTTTGCGGCCGGGGCGCCCATTCCAAAGAGATTGTCGGGATAACGAAATATGTCTAGTGAATCGTAGTAAGTGAGACAGGGCCTATACCAATACCGCTAGGCAGTACAATTGCAAGTATGCTGATCATGGAGTCAGGTTATATTATATTATGGGGAACATAGAGATGAGATTGAATTCCGCGGTCACCTTAAGCGCGCTGGCGGGCGTAGTTTCCAAACGAAACGTCCACACAGAAATGGGCAAGCTTTGATAAACGGCCAAGTGACAGTGGCATTCTAGATGGGTCCAAGTCACGGAACATCTAGGAACGGAACCAGGCCATGGCTGAGCGCTGCGGGAAGATCACCGGAATAAGTTGGTTTGTCACAACAAATGGCAGCATGGCTAGAGAACCGCCCCGTGGCGTGAATGAGATTTATCATTACTCTCTCCAGTATAGTCACTGGGGCTTGATAGCACAGCATTTTGAACTGCCTCTGCCACATGTCAATGCCCCAAATAACCAGTTCGTGCCAAGTATTACATTGAATGATTCGTCTTGTTTGGGAGATTGGGAGTAAAGATGAACGTATTGAATATGTATCAACTTTCGTTCGAATGTTGCGGCAAGACACGTACTAGTACTACGAGCAGTGCACACGATTTCCTTTTTTAGAACAAGTCTCTTTGAACTCACGCTCGAAGGGAGGGATTAGTACTTGGTCTAACAAGTCAAACCCAAACCTAGTATGTCATCTCTCGCTGGTGCACTGTACCAGCCCGCAAGCTACAGTCATGGTTTCTCCACCGGACTACCACCTGCAAACCCAGGAGAATTCAATGACCGGGATGTGGACATGAAACCTCCGAGCACTGACGTTCTTCCGAAGGAGGAAGAGGACACCGCGGCAATTTCGGGGGTGCTTGACGACGGAGCACATGAGGAAGAAATGGAAGACCTCTTTGGAAACGAGGCAGACGAAAAGCACGATGCCGCAGATACGAAATCAGACAGGTGAATACACTATGTTCGAGGACTCTTTGACGAGTACAACTGCTATCATCCTAGTGCTCCTGCCGTTACCCCTGCCGAATCAGGATTTGAGTCAGACGATCTCTCGCAAACGGAGAAAGAGCATCGACAAGCGCTAGAATATCCGGAACCTGAAGAGCCAGGTATCGTCGTGGAGCAAGTCCGGGAGGCTGATGTGCGCATTCCCAACATTCCCGTTCCAAAGAGCTCAGACGGCGATGTATGTAATATTGTCTCATTATTATTTATGTACGCTGAAGGCCTTATTTCCATAGCACTGGGTAATTAGAATGCCAACCTTTGTAAAAATGGACTCAAAGCCTTTTCATCCGGACACATACATTGGCCCAGAGCACGACGAGGATGATGGCCACCACAATGAGAATATCCGTGAGAAGAGCATGTCTATCAAGCTCAAAGTCGAAAACACCGTACGTTGGCGATGGACAAAAGATGAATTTGGCCAAGATGTAAGTGATGTAAACTTAAATCCTACAAGCCTCTGACGCCTAACCTCCTTATCACAGAAAAGACAATCAAATAGTCGCGTGATCCGTTGGTCCGACGGTTCTCTCAGCCTGAGACTAGGAAAGGAGCTGTTTGATATTACGAAGACTGTCGACACATCCGGTGGTATCGTACGCCAATCGTTGGGAGGTACTCAGTCGTCGCAACCGTCACAGAGCCAGCCAGCATCACAAGGTCTGCTTTCTAGCTCAAGATCTCAAGGTTTAACATACCTTGTCGCACAACACAAACGGTCAGAGGTGCTGCAAGCCGAAGCTGTAGTCACAGGGTATATGACACTGCGACCGACGGGCATGCAATCCGAAACACATCGTATGCTGGTGCGCGCGGTGGGTCAGAAACATAACAAGGTGGCTCGATTACGTATGGCTCCTGATCCAACCATGGACCCCGAGCGCGAGAAGATGGAATTAATGAAGCAATCGGCTCGAAAATCCAAAAAGAAAATTGACGACACTGGATTTGGCGTACGTAAAAAGAGGTATGGCCAATCGAGGAAAAGGCAGGGACGCGATATCTGGTCGGAAGATGAAGAAGAACCAGAATATGAGGGTTCAGAAGATGATGATGATTTGGGTGCTTCCAAACGTAAAGCAGATGAACAAAAGAAAAGGGGTCCCGGCGAATATCAGGAGGACGATTTCGTGGTTGCGGATGAGTCAGATGACGATGCGGAGTTTGATGGTGAGGCTGGGTCCAGGAAGAAACGGAAACGTCGAGAGCAAGAAGAGGAGGATCCTCTGGACCAGCTTGATGCTAAAATTATTCAACGCCAGCAAGATGACCGGAAACGGAAACACCATGACATCGGGATCGATGGGGGGACAACAGAAACTGCGGAAGATGGCGCAGAAGTAGGCGAAGATGATGGTGACCAAGACATGGATATCGAAAGCGAAGAAGAGGAAGAGGAGCATAGGGTTCGGAAAGCCGGGTCTGGCGCACGGAAAAAGAGAACGATGGCGCTTGACGATGACGACGAATAATCTTGTGGTCACCTGTCTTCATTCATCATTGTTCTATGTAGAATTACACATGGTCTGATGCTTTGACAGCTGTTGGTCGTATCTATCTCAGCGTAGCTCCGACTTTCTCGCGCAACATGCCCGCCTCATCCCAATATCCCGATGGTTGAATGCTGTTCACTTCATCCTGATTTTCCTTGTTGCTGTCCAACAGGTTCCGAAGTGCTAATATAGCATGTTCCCGAAGGTCTAGAAATTCAGCGTCATGAAGTCTCGTACACTCTCACAGACAAAAGTTTGACATACACGGGTTGCGTTCGTCCACAACACACATATTCATAATAACAGGAATGCCCCCGCATACCCTAATGCGGTCCTGGAATGTCTTATCTCGATGGCAAAGCACCCCGACTAAACGCACAAGATCGCGTTTCAAATACGAGAATCCATTGGCTCCTGCGACTGACGATGGGATGCTTTGATCTGTCGCAGGATTCAAGACGGGCTTGCCAAAGTAAATGCGTGGAAGAAACGCGTCAAGAAGCCGTAAGAGTTCTGGATAAACATGGTCAGGTGATATGTTCTGATCTAGCTTGACAGCCTAGACTTGCCTATAATGCTCTCGGCGGTGCACTGACCGTCAGTTGAGCAGGCATCTCGAAAGATCGCTCGTAATTCTACAGCGGATGGATCCATAGTCCGCTGGTCCTCGGATAGTAATGAGATTTTGACGATACATTGAGTTGCTAATACGAGTGCCTCGCATGATTTTGGCAGTAATAAATCAAGTTCTTGCAGGTGTTCGATGGAACTATCCAAATTTGGCTCCGAATTGATGGGATTGATAGCTCGCTTAATAGCTGACTGAGAATATGACGAGAGCGAGAGGAAAATTTCCGACAGCATAGGGCACATATCGCAATGTACAGGACAGGTTTGAGACGATTGTAGGTATGAGTCGAGGAGTTTCAGAAGAGTAGTTTGGTGCTGCGCAATTACCTCCCCTTCACTGCCTCAGAGCATGAGTACTTTGTCTGCATGAGATAAGAGTATTCCACGTACACGGACAATGAATTGTACAGATCTGGTGCAAAACCGCCATCAAATAAGTGGGCAAACAAATGATACCTATTAAAGAGAGTCGTCATGAAGTTTTACAACACACAGTTACAGTTACCCATAGTCAAACGCTTTTGCGCCGTCAGTGGATTCCTCCGCGTCGTACAATAGGACCATGCGGTCCAAAAGCGTTACGCATATTCGGGCTCCCCCGCGTGATTTCGTGAGTAAAGAACTGGATGCAAAAGGAACAGGTCAAGGGTAAACAGAGCAACCGAAACATTACGTACCGACGCTCAGTACTATCGTGAATGCAATTTACCATAAGTACCAGGAGTGATAGGATGATCTTATGGTCAGGGGAGCCGAGCAAGCGACTGGATTTGTTCCAAAGAAACAAGTCAACTCCTGTAGCTCAGCAAGTAGCTGTGGTGGCTTACATGAGAATGGCCCGTTCCTCAGGCAGAGTGAGATAAGTACTCCAAAGGCGGGATGTGAGATCCTCGTTAGTAGTAACAATGTTCGAAAGTGCTTGAACGGCCATCCTAGTAGCCGGAAAAGCTGTAGATGAAAGGCATCCTATTTGAATTGATATGTGTATTGCAAGATGGGTGACTCACAATCCGTAACTTGAAACGCAGACCAGGAGCTGTACAAATGCAGAACACGGCGAAGAGCTGGCTCGACTCCACTTGAAACTCGCCGGGCCGTTAGGACATCAGTACCAACTGACATGTTTCAGACTCACAATGCATTCTGCTGGTTCACTGCAACGCCTGCGACAATGTTCCTAGTAAATCTGGCGACACTTATTACGAGGACGCGCAACTCTGCGACATCTGCATCTGCTGAAGGATACTCAGCAAGGAAATCCCACAGCTGTTGGAGGGACAGCCATATCGAAGGGTTTTCGGACCCCATACGAATCCTGATTTTTATTTATTTCGAATTCATATGGAAGATGGCTTACGGTCTCACCTCAGGTCCCCGCTCCTTGCAAGATCATCAGCGATCGTATCAAGTACCTTTGTTAGAGATGGGACACTGTCCTTGCCGTTCTTGCTGAGAAAACCAGCACAGATCTCGCAAAAGCGGACGTTGAGCGAATTTTGGTCGGAGCCCATCTGGATGAGGAACAAGCTTTGTTGAAGGGCGGAGTGGCGGTGATCACAAGTGATTCCGTGACAACTCAGCCGACTACTGATAGCGCTGAGCCGCGGCGCTCGTGCACGGTGCCGCATCTTACATTACGCGCTCAATGGGCTCCTCTCGAAAGCCCACAGTATGTTAAACGGCTATCATATCCGACTTGAATTGTACAGAAAGATTATTGATGATTCACTGTCGCATCCTGACACTGTCGACACTTTCACGCCGAAGGCCTTATTTCAAAGCTTACCGTCACATCGCCCCAAATCAACTACCAGGAGGAACGCTTTATTCAACTCAGCTCACAAGGATTACAGATTTGGTCCAATAAGACTCGACTGGATTGATTTTGAGGGTTCGAATTCTGCTATGTATGCTGGTAAAGAGAAACAAGCAGGGCGAGGTGCGAGTAGTCATATATTTTACGAACAAGAGTTCAAGCCGTCTGTTTGATGTTTCAGGCCCCTCCACAGCAGAGTTTATCCCTAATAGGACAACGAAGTCTGGCTCGACGAATTTGCCCGAGGGCACAGTTCATGTGTACCGCCAATGTAGCGAACGGCGACATAACGGTGTGGACGAGTCTAATGAACCCTCTGCCGCAAGTGCAAGCGAGACCGTTACAGAAGATGGCCCCATGCTTGGTGTGTTAGCAGTTCCTGCATGGATGACACCTTCAGACTTTCTCGCTTTCGTGGCACCCGCTGCGGAGGGTATGGCTCATCTTCGCCTCATCCGGTGTGCACTTACATTCAATTATTCACATCCTGAGGCTTATAGTATATTTTAAGAGATTCCCTTCCGAATCGCTCTATCGCTATTATCAAGTTCCGGCAGGCCGATCAAGCCCTTGAATTTGCAGAAGCATACAACGGCAAACCATTCAATTCTATGGACGCAAGTGGTTCAACGCTTCTCTTAGCTCGACACTGAGTGTTATCACAGGCCGAGACGTGTCATATTGTGCGTGTCCTATCTGTCGAGATAGATTCAGACACATCAGTTTCCTTCGCTACTGCTGCGCGTTTGCCTCAATCGGTTTACGAACTCCCGACCTGTCCTGTATGTCTGGAAAGGATGGATTCGGCTGTCACTGGTCTCATCACAGTCCCTTGCTCGCATACATTCCATTGCATGTGTCTTAGTAAATGGGGCGACAGCCGGTATGCTGCATTTCGTGGCAGTTCCTCATTTAGTGACTTATGATTGTCACCAGATGTCCCGTTTGTCGATATTCGCAAACACTTCTCTCTTCACATCCCACATCGTCAACCTCGCGTTCACGGCCCATCCCATTTGCAAATGCTGCCACCACCTCTCTTTCTACGTGCGCCGACTGTTCCTCCACCGCGAACTTGTGGATCTGTCTGATATGTGGCAATATCGGCTGCGGGCGCTATGGCCGTGCTCATGCACACGCACATTACGAAAAGACAACTCATCTCTATGCTCTCGAGCTTGAAACACAACGCGTATGGGATTACGCGGGCGATGGTTATGTTCATCGTCTCATTCAGAACAAAGCGGATGGTAAACTCGTCGAACTTCCTTCCGCTGCGTCCTCAATGGGTGTCAATTCCCGGGATGACGGCACGTTAGGTCCAAGCCATGCAGACTCTCTCAGTGCTGAGAAGATCGAGGCGATTGGAATTGAGTATTCCTATCTGCTCACATCGCAGTTGGATTCGCAGCGGTTATTTTATGAGGAACAGACAACTGAGCTGAAGACACAGGTGGAAGAGCTGCGAAACTTGGTAGAAAAGCTGAGTCTAGACCTAGACAAGGACAAGACTGAAGCGAAGGAACGCGAAGCACAATGTCATCGGGAACAGGAAGAAAGATTAAACGAGGTATACAAGGATAAGATCAAGGCAGAGAAGAAAGCGGAACGCATCGCAGAAATCGCAAGGAAGTTTGAAAAAGAATTGAAGGAAGAGAAGGCCGTTAGTGAGGGACTTTTGAAGAATCTAACCAAAATGAAGGAGACAAACGCACAATCGGAGGTGCAGCGTCAAGAATACCAGGCTAAGATCGATGATCTTCAGGATCAGGTCAGAGATGTGATGTTCTTCTTAGAAGCTCGGGCGAAGATTGAGCAGGAGGACGGTGCGAGTGCTGAAGCGGCAGGAGGCACTGTTGAATTGCCCCCTGCCTCCGGCGCGAGTAGTGGCACGGGGAATAGAAAAAGGAAGACAAAGAAGGGCTGATGACTCATTGGGTTGGTACTGGTGCTGTACAACTCTCGGCCGACTCATACTCCGCAGCACATGTACTAGGCGTATGACTCCTTTTTGATGTCGACCCAGCCAATATCTTTATAATGTTATTCATTACTGCCTATTTGCTCCACAGCATGGCACATCGGCGAAGGCGCTGTTAACTTCACAGGATGACGTGTGAGATACTGTCGCACTACACTCGCCCGCCGAGATAAGAGTGAGAAACGGAGGATCTCGTGTCACTCATGCAAACTATCGTGAGGAATGGAAGCAGGTTGAACTAGGCGTTGGCGTAATGCAGAGTGATATGGGTCTGTGCTGGAAGAAGCTGCGGTGGCATCCACTATGTCAGCTTTATCAGAGTCTTTCACGAGCTTCTCATTCCTCGATAGTATGCGCGGAGCATGTCCTGTTTTCGTGTTTGATCGGCGAGAGTCCCATATCATGAACAGTATAATTTCTGCAAGGGCAACAACGAGAGCAACAGATGTTGCGAACAAAACTCTCTGCATAGACATATATGAGTATCAGATAACACCCAGCGGATGATTCATACCCATTCAAGGCGCAGGCCCATACGTTCACTTGCCCACCATGTTGCAAAACCGGTTCCTGCAACGCTGAGGACGCCATTAACGACCGTAGACACTGCCTTCTTGTCATTTGCTGCCTGCCGGCGCTCTGTTTCTGGATCCTTTGCCACGTATGCTGGAAACTTCTTTTCTGGTGATGTTCGCGTGCCAGCAAGCAGAGAGACCATGGAATAAGATTGAGGATCCAGCGAAGAGCTCTGCAGTGCTTTGAGACCTGCTGGTGAACGAGACCATTGGGATATCTTGAGGAGAATGTAGTACGGAATGACAGTGCTTGATGGTGTTATGAAGGCTGACAATTCGACAGCCAGGTCGTCGGGTAAGATAGTCGGAAGAGCATTTAGAACTTCCAGAAGATGATCCTCTAGAGATATGTCCAACTCATGTGTTCGGTTCATGCTTCGTTGTGGCCAAAATATCCCAGAATGTCAGAGATTTGGCCGGACCGGAGTTTGAACCAACTTGAACGCGCCCGCCCAACATCAATTCCATTTCAACTCTGGCCGCTCATTCACCTCGCTTGTCTAGGACCTTTCCTGCCCGCTGCCCTTTTTTCGTACCCCCTAGCCCCCTGTCCTATACCTGCTACCTGCCTGGTGATAACAACTGTGAATCTCAAGTTGCCTTTCTTGCTAGCTTCAGTTTTTCTATCGGCATTTGGTATCGTTCTTGATTGTGCAGGCTGCGGCGTTGCCATTCCTCTTTTGATCTGTCGCAGATAAACAGAAACTCGGGCAAGCCGATGGCAAGGGTATGTCTTCACTGTATGGCTGATTGATGTTAGATTAATACAGTCTATAATGATATATTGATTCATCAAATATATTATAACTACTTTATAAGTGGGATCGTGCTTTTAAAAAGCTCTCGATGTTCATGGAAGTATGTCCACACAGTAAGCAGGCCCAACGAGCTTCACTGCACACACGGGGGGTACCGATGGGCCTTGTCATGTCCCAGACATTGGCCCAGACTTCATTCCAAACCGGTCATTTCAGGGATGGCCTCAGCGTGGGCACCACATCAATTCTAGCACAGTGCATGGGCAATCAGATTCAGCGATAATCGCATCTTTTCTCTAATATTTCCGTCGAGTTTCCAGATTTTGCGATGCATGCCGCTTTGCAGTTGAACGACATCATTTACATGGTTTTCCGCCACGTCAATGACCCCTCTTTGAAAAATATAAACCAGGAGGGAATGTTGGGCATTCGACCCTTGCGGCTCTTGCGAGGAGGACATGCAAAACATTCCATAAACCCGCCTTGGATGTGTTGTGGGGAGATCTATACTTTCCACACCCCTTTATTTATTGCTTGCCGGACTCAAGATCTGGATGGGTTCATAAAGTACTGTAACGGCAGAGTTTTTCACTAACAGCTGAATGTTGCTAGGATCGTACGGAGTTCGGACGCCCTGACCACTAGGGATTGGGAGGTTCTGCAGAAATACGTCCCGCGAATCCGGTCTTTGAGATCCATGTAGCAGCGGGACGGGGACCTCGATGTTGCAACATCTTGAAGGCTCTTCGACAGTCACCTGTTGCTCAACCGCCCCTCCCAAACTTGCAGCGACTTGATTACCGCTGCTACGTTTCCAAAGACTATCATCTCCTGGATATTTTCTTCGTGCCATCCCTGATAGATCTCACTATCGAGGTTCATCCTGCCAGCTTTCCCGATGTTTCATTCATCTCACCCCTTGCCATCTTTCCGTCTTTTCGGTTAAATCTCCCACGAACTCATCATGGCCACTGTGTCAAATGTCGTTATGAGCCTTCCTCATCTTCGGATGCTCCATTGCGATCAATTCAGCCAAGCAGCGATCACTTTCGTCGCATGGCACCCATCCCATCACTGACCGAGCTGGACATCAGTATCCCAAGCGGCCTTCCATACAATCTTCCACAATTTCCGCATCCTACTCTCCCTAGGCTACCACCCTTTTCCCAGATCAAAAGCTTTGGTATGAATTCCGTTCGTCTGACCACCATCAGTGCATTTATCAAGGCGATCCAATCATCTTCTTCTCACTTGCGTTTGCGACAAGCCAGGCGTCGTCACCTGAAGATTTAGAGGGATTTTTCAGTATCTTGTCAAATCAATGGAAACATGAATTTCTTCAAATTCTTCAACTGAAGTCATCTCTCCCGGGTGCACCCATTGATACAAACACCATCAAGCCTCTACTTCACTTCTCAAAGTGCGAGAACTTCACCTCTTGACGGGAAACCCCATCCGGGTGTTCTCTGCTATGGGCGATTCTTGGCCTGACTTCGAAGTCATCAACCTCAATGACGGATATGCGGAGGCGGACCCACCCACGACCACTCTGTGTGGCCTCATCTTACTGGTAAACAAGGTAATACCGGGAGCAAGGTATGTATAGTAGGTACAGCGCGCTAAATATGGATGGATGAGTGCTAAATATGGACGGCGCAGCCCAAATATGTACCGGATGGATGATGCATAACTGTCAGATCCCTGATGCATTAATGATGCATCACACAATGAGCAAGCTTGATGCATGATGCATCACAAAACTAGGCTACGTAGCCTGTTTTGATGCATCAAAATGACAGTATTGCCTGAAATATGAGTTTTATCTTCGAAGAAGAGCACGTCCATACCGTTCGCAGGCGGGTGGATCGTTGCAACACCAGTGCTATCGCATTAAGGATGGAGAAGACTTTTGATTACTAGCACATTCAAGATCTGGATCCCTCCGCCGCTACCGCTTACACTGAAAAATACAGGTCTCGAATAGACCAAGGACATCCAAATGCTCCTACCACCCCGCGACAGATTCATTCTATAAGTTAAGCACGTAACCAACTCTACCAGACCCACTCCCACCAGTCATCTTGTACGATCCAAACCTCGCTCCACGAACGACACCGAATAAGCCACTGTCGGGATAAGACAATCACGCCGCGGAATTTGCAAAGGAAATGTCGGACATTGGAACATGCACGAGGGTGCTAGTAGAGTCGTGTGGATGTTGATTCACCTGCCAGAGATGCAGGTGCATGCGCGTGGCAAGAATTGGAAACATGATGAACTGGCAACTATATGTGGGTGTACATTTGGGGCATTGTTAGCAGGAGGATGTGGAGGTACATACTTATACAAAATGGTTTCGTAGGACCACTGGGGCGCAGAACATCAACGGCTCGATCATAAAAAGCATTTGATAGATTATCGCACCTGGAGGAGCAGCGATGCGAAAATGTTCGTAACCGAGAACACTTCAGGAAAGAGAATGATAATGGCTGAGTACGGGAAAACGGCTCGAACGATTGTAAACTCACCAAAACCGCATGCATAATAGGATATGTTATGGTTCACCAGGACAACGTACAAACGGCTTGAGTTTATCCGCCAGTTCTGTACGGCGCGTATGAGGGTGAGTATCATGAGTCCTGGGGAGAACACCTGTCAGCGCGTGTTTATACATATACATGCTCTCCTTGTTACCCACCCATTTGGAACACGGAAAGGAGAAGAAATGGTACGAAGGACTGGTAACTGGTTGAACTCCGGTAGCACCCTGTGATTCCCGGGATTGTGCTAGTTGCATCTGTGAAAGTGAACAGAATGTTTAGTGGTCATGGAACTCAGGGGGAAGGTGAAAGCATGTACATGTTGTGGGGACGGTAATGTCGAAAGTAACGCTGAAGGATGCTACGACAAAAATCTGGCTGGCATCTACCACTAATTTGGGTATGGTGAGTGGATTTGGAACTCACGAAGGCGGAGCACAGCATAGCTATGAGCAATTTTCTATTCTTGTTCCAGAGCACATATGTTCTAAGGATAAAAAAACCTGGGTGGATCAGATCAGAAAAACACATAAGACGGGGGGAACGAGAGATACTTTCGGAGACAATGACTAGTACTATTCCAAGACCTGTGAGAGGAAAGTAGTAGCCTTCAGAAAGGACGTCCATACATGAATGCACCACGCACGCACCTGATTGAATATTTTCCAACTCCTGGCATTTCTAGCGAATTCACGCAGTAATCTTTAACCTTCCACCACATCACATACACCTAGGTTCTCATTTGGGGTAAAGTAAACTAAAAAAACAAGTGTCAATTCACCATCAGGACGATGTGTGCTGGAGCGGGACGCACTAGATAGATTTGTGGCCAGAAAGACAACAGGGAGGCATCGTGTAATGATATAGAGGCCTTTCATCTTGTTCCAGCGTGATCGAAGCAAAAATGACCACTGTGCACAGCAATGATATTGTCGATATCAAAACCGAAGTGCATCATGGAGCAGGTGTATTACCTCTTCATGAAGTGAACATGCATAGTCATAGGTCTGAATAAGCGAGTTTGTCAGCGGATGTGGACAGATCAGAATAAGCCTACCCAGAATGTAGCCATCGATGCTGAACTGTGTTAGGACAAAGAATTTTGGGTTCAGGCGGTACGCACCCAGTGTGTACTGATGGTTACATGATTTGTCAATTGTGAATCGCCCTCATATCGACAAGGGGACACACCTTAACGGACTGCAAGCTCATCGCTTCTGCGATATCGTCAGTTGAATACACCATCTAGAGGTCAAAAATGTGTTTCACACACACGTACACACATCGTGCGCCCTCTTAGCTCTTATGAATGGGCTGTGAACCCATCAAGGCGGTGACGTAGACGCTGGGATATCATTGAAATTAGTGAGTTCAAACTTGGCTAGCTTGCTGCGGTCGGAGCGTTTTACCGTTCACTGGATGTACCGGCCGGGGAGTAACTTGATAAGAGATACATTGGACAAGCGCTCCAGTCCCCTTTGGGCGCACATTGATTCATAATAATAGACGTCTGTATACTACGTTAGCCATTGTCTCTTCCTCTCCTAGGCCCTTCTGGCTGTCAGTATGTTTCGTCATTGTCCGTGTGATTCCATGCTCACCATAATCTCCTGGCGATGCATAGTTGAATTCGTCTAAAAGGTGTAGCATTTTGAATGCCAACGAAATTTGGAGTGCGAAAGGAGCATGCGGAGACCGAAATGAAAAGGAGCCTCAAGATGTTGGAGCGCCAGTGGAGCTCAAGTGGCGCGCGCACATGGCAGTCACACATATTGGAAATCGCTCCGTCCTTACAATAAATGCTCTCTTTTGAGGAGGGCTCACCTAGCGATCAACATGAATGTGATAGAGGAGCGTCCCGTACCCATACTTGGTGCAAAGTATCTCGTGCTTGCGGACACCATTGTTGAAAATCCGAGAGCTGTTGCTTTCATAGTCTCTCTAGTGTTCCCGAAGGCAAAGAAAATAGTGGCGGGTGAATAGCGTATATTTGGACAAGGTGAATGAGCACCTCGAGATATTCAGATCGGTCCCATAGAAGTCGTTGGAGTCCTTGGACTGATTTTGTCGATATCGGTTGAATGGGTAGGATTATGTTGTTGTTACGTCCGAGAACTGTCTAGATCTACAGTTGAATCAGTAGCCGATTGCATATGAAACGGAGTGCAAATGAAATGTGCTAAGAAAATTCAAAATAAATATTGAGACCCGTAGGTCTACCACTCCGGGAAAGCGTGTCATCCTTGTGCAGGGGCCATGCTAATCTTCTCTGTATCGTTCCAATTTTTCGTATGTCACCCCGAAGGGGACAATACTTGGTATGAGGGGAAAGTCGAGGTCAACACAAAATTGCATTTGTGATGGAGGCCGGGTTCGCAAATTACCTAAAATGGCAGGCACTGGACTCGTTGCTCGATTCGATCACTCGACTTGCGACGACTATGTATGTTATGTTAGTTCTACCGGACAGGTAAGGCTGGGAGCCTAATGTCAATCATTCGGGTGTGCACATCGGTAACACCACATTCCATGCACGTTCATGCGAGTTCCACTCAATCGATTGCTAGATATGATTGCGTCATTGGCAGGTAAGAGGGCGACAAAGTATGACCATGCGTTATATGTAAGTATGTGTAGGTATTAAGGAATGATGAAGAGCGTCGCGGACGAACGAACCAAAGAAAAAAAGCATCGCAATCAGATCAACCACAAAGCACCCCAATAAGGAACCAAGAATGAGAAAATATCAGTAGTGAAGGATGGAATAATGTACATGAGAAGTCATTGTCAGTTTGTGGTAGGGACATTATATGACACCACTTCTATGTTGCACGGGGAAGGCAGAGGACATTGGTGAAACCTGATTTTGGTTCGCACCCTCAGTGTCGAGGGAGACGGAAGGTCCACTGCTAAGTGCGGGGGCGGAGCTCGTACTTGGCGTCGGTGGCACCGCGCCAGGGGTAGGCACTTTGCCAATGAACCATGACTAGTAAGGACAAGGATGGTTAGTGGAGCTCCACAGGTACGAAAAACGTAAACGCACAGGTACCCATCCTCGATCACCACCATCTTCTTTGACAGCCTGCATAACAAGTGAGCTGGATATCACAGACGGTAAACTATAACTCACATATGACCAGTGATTGTATTTCTTGAACACCCTTAGCGCATCATCTTTCACTAGATCCAACTCCTCTTCCCCTTTCTTCTTGTAGTCCATAAGAGCTATTCCTGGGAAACTCGTCGATATGATGCTCAAGGGGAGGATGGGCGTCTTAGAATCAGCTGCTAATGGCAATTCAGAGGATCCTGCTGCTTTCGAAAGTGCGGTAGCCTCTGCAATAGCGGATGCAACTGGGACATTGGTCTCAAGCAGGCAACCTGCAGGTACCCAGCCCTGCTTTGAGGTGTCGGTGTCGACCACACCCGAACCTGTCGGGTCCCGTTGCACCACCCACCACCCTCGTGCGCGCGATAAGATGACGAATGTATCACCACTAGATGAGACTTGAGTATAGCCAACGCTAGTCAGTAGTAAAAACACTTACACAACCACGTCAAACTCATCTTCCTGCTCAGCCATATACGGGTATATTGCAACCGCGTATGATACTCCAGACATTGGTGGAGGCATCTCCCTCCTTGCTGTGTCTGCATCAGCGGTGCTCGTGCTCCGTGTTTTTGGAACCTCTATGGTGCTCGTATGGCCAACGAGTGTCGTCGAAGTTGAACATGTGTCTCGGTTATTCACAACTTCCTGTTCTTGCTTCTCCAATACCGGTGACATAACCTCTGGCCATCCAGCTTGTGGTGTTGTGCCTGTTAACAGGGGTGCAGGAGGTGTGATGTCGTTAACTTCCAATCTCGGTGGCCGTGTGGCTGCTCTGCCCTGTCCTGATGATGAAGACTTATTGTTCGATTGGCCAGATGATGACTCGGATGCAACGGACGCCTTGCGCAACGCGTGTTTTTGCTGTGCAACAGCGATAGGAGAACGGATGTCTTTGATGTGCTTGAGCATGAAAACAGGGTTTTTCTTCGCGTCTTTGAGTTTTTGGAAGAGTAGAAGAGGCTTTTCATCGTAACTGAGACATCGCTCGATGCGGTTTCCTGCAGACCAAATAAGACATTTCTGATCGTAGAAACTGTCCTGCTTACCAGGGGAGCCGTAACATATGAACATGGCATAATTCTGCCAATGATCGTTGTTGATCTTGTACTTCTTGAGGGCAGCGGGAAGCACTTTCCACGTCGGGTCCTCTAGACTGACCTTGAAACTCTTGAGATTGTCGGTACTGTCTTGCCGGCTTGGTCGCGATGATGATGTTGAAGGTGACGGCTGTACGGGTGACTCTACAGGTGCTGGTGGATGCTTGTGGGATTGATTTTGTTGGATCCCGCGACTATGAGAAATATCAGGTTCCACTTGTTGGGGGGAAGGATGGGGAGATTCAGCGTCGGGTTTGGTTGGTGACTTGGTAGGGTTGACATACTGAGCCCACTTGAAAGAGGGCTGTCGCTTCAGTGGAGTATGGCTGATCTCTTCAACAAGCAGTTGAAACCTTTCGTTCAGACGTTTGTTGTCTTCCTCAAGTGAATGAACTTTTTGTGCTGGTGCATGGAATAATCTTAGCACAGTGCCATGATGTGTGGAAAAGCTGATGACAGACCTTGTTCCCTGACGAGGTCGTGTAGTTTCTCCACCGTTACATTGCGTTCCTGCACTTCTGCTAGAGATAAAAAGTCAAATTTTGAAGCAATAGCCATCACAGAAGTGCGCACAAGGAGGAATGTAGTGGTCGGCTTCGACAGGCACATGGTGGGCGAGCTTAGCCTGATAGACGGCTTTAAGGATGGCCAATCTCTGACCCACTGTGCTTATCCCGATTGCCTTGAGATCCTCCGCATCTAGCATGCAAAGGACATCACCAGATATATTGTGCTCTGATATATGGGATGTATTCAACATTTGAACATTCGGAGATGACACGAGCAGCACCTTTGATCTGAGCTTCATACTGCGCAAAACCAAGACTTGAAAGCCATCGGTGGACATGGTCTTCATCCCAATCCAATATGTTACGTTCACCGTTTGCAATATCCATGGCCATGGCGAAGACAGCCGCAACTGAATGCTAAGGGGGATCAGACAAGGGCAACTTGAGAGAAGACCTGACACCGCCAGTCAATTCTTATTTACCAGGTGCAAAATGGATCAAGCACTTCCACACAATTCCACATACCATTTTTGGTACAAATCACATGACTTTATTACTAATTATAGAAGGTGCATATTGCCATTGTCTCTATTTAAAAGATTCATTGGCAGCGACGTCGACCACCTTATACATTAGAAAGTGAGGCCTAGGTGAGGACCTGCACTCTAACATGCTTTCCTTCAGTACGTTACTGTGCTTAACCATTACAGTCATGCTGAAACCGTCCAAATTTTTCGTGAACTCAGGGACAACCCCACCGGCTGAGTATATCGTCACGGTGGGGTTGATTGAATTTAAACGCAGGCTGTCTTCGATATTCTTAGCAACTGGCAAGGAAAAGCAAAGCCCAGGGCAGAGCATCCAGCAAAGAATCGCGAGACAGACCACGTCCTTAGGTTCCCGCTGCAGACACACATGTCCTAGGATAAGGATCTGTTAGCTGGGATAAGAGGGATGCTAGGGTGGCGGGGATGGTAGCGGTTTCGAACCTGCGAAAGTTCTTGTCGACCGCGCCAACCTTCTCCTTCGGTTTAGAATTGATATCACTAACCCTATATACCTAGTGGGAGTAAAAGTTCCGAGGCACGACTTAGTACAACCGCATCCTATGGCCGGCTAGCTGCATACGGTAACTGTGGCCCACCGAGAGGGTGGTTTACGGCTGGATGAGGGCTAGTGGGTGAAGGGGAAGCTTCATATCGCAGATCTGGGCCTTTAGCTCAAACTGGATCCTAATCCCACTTGCCAAGGTACTGCGGCGGCCGTTTCCGGTTCGCGTCAGATTTGGCGTCTCCACGCAGAGACGATGCTGGATAGTGCACAGCGAATGCTAAAATAGAGTTCTTGCTTCAATAAATTCTGTGGGGTTTAGTTGCAGTTCTCACCGTATATGATCGGCCGAGCACAGATAGCTTTCATGAAGCTCCGTATGAAAACATACGGAAACTGATGGAAATCCACTGCAGCGCATACGGTTCATCATCATGATAAGGGACCGCTACGTGTGATGGGTGATGTTCTAGACCCAAGGTCAACCAGCGGGGGGTTGCACGATGATTGATGTAGAGTTGAGCAGGCTCCCATGAATCCACGAACACACTCGAGTACTTGACGCAACGACACCGCCGATGGTACCGAGAAAATGTAAGTCCTTGTTCAGATCAATCCCAGCTTGACCTTCAAAAGGATAGATCGTCATCATAAACATGCGGCTGAGGTCGAACAACCCGATACTGAGCGCTGAGCAGCCAGCCAATTTGCACGATCTCGACCTGCCATGACAGTGATGGTACAAGAACGAATATTAGTATTCCCACGGGACCCCCCACAACTTGAGTCATGCAACTTTCACTTGAAGTGTTTGAGTTTGACGTTCTTTTAGGGTAAGGGTATGTATAGCTGCATCCTGGACAAACTATAGAGTCTGCCCAGTGTCACGAGTGAACGGCTGAAACATTCTTCTTCAGTGGCAGCCTGAACCGGTTCAACTTACTTGCTATGAACAACCCTTGGGCCACAACCTGGGAGCAGCCAGACAATCAGCCAAACAATCGCAAGACACCCATCCCGACACCGTCCTGGAACTATACCATTGGAAATAAAACTCAGGATCAAGAGGAAGATATAGGACTTCCATCATGGTCCGCAAGCAACGATGCACAATGGCCAGAATCATCTCACACCAGCGACGCTCTCTGGACCTCTTCCATCGACGACAGTGGCGTGTGGGGCTCTTCGACGTACGCAAAGATAAACCTTTCTCGTCGGAGAATAACAGAAGCAGTTGTTGATTCAGAGACTCAAGATGAAGTCGTATGTCCCGTACCCGCAGCCAGCGAAGAAGACAACGTTGTAGGACCTGCTCCCCCAGATTCCGTAGAGCCTCACCTAGTGCCACCAACAGTCGATCTTACTCCCCAAGTTCCAGACAGCCCTAATGTAGATGGTGATTTTGAAGCCAGCCCGTCTGTCAAAGGGGAAGACGAGGAAACCGAGGATGACAGTGAAGTATGGGCAGACCCAATAAACCTCTCAATAGACGATGGTGATGAGTGGGGTGCCGCTTGGGTGGATACATCTGCATCGGAGGTATCTGTCGGTGCTGAAGAGCCACCAGATGAATGGGAATCGGCGCGACAAGAGAAAGAGAAGTTGAATCGTGCAGTGGTATGAATGGTATTTATGTGCGTGAATCTGACTAACCAGTGTTTAGCCTCCAGAAATGATGGCAGCTCTCGTTCAGAAGTGCCAGGAAGTCTCTAGTGAGCTCTGGCCAGGGACGGCCTCCGACTCGGATACTAGCAACTGGAGGACTGGTGTTGATGGACTTGAGAACATGTATGTACATAACCCGGTATTTCCCTACGGTGCAATTTACATACCTTTTACTTCAGTGCGGTTTTATTAAACGACTTAATCCCCGAGGACATGGCTTTGTCCCCTCCAATGCAGTTCTCACAGACAGCCACTGCAAAAGAGTTAAATAACGCGCTCAAGCTCACGAGGCATATGCCTTTGACACGTAAGAGCCCAATGGCCCTCCTCCTTAGTTCGAAGGGATCAACGGACTGGGAGAAATCAGTCAAAGCTAGGAAAGATATTCCTGTGGACGATGCTCCAGTGGGGTGGCGAATCCTAGAAAAAGACGAACGCGCTACTATTACTGATGCAAGTCATCCAAAGAAGCCTGGTGCAGGACTGCTCTCGTTCTGGAACCGCAAGGCATCATCATCAATACTTTCTGCAGACGCAAAGGTGGAAAATGCGCGACCACCGTCTATACCCGCGCGTTCTAGCATCGATAACACGAAGCCCCAGGTGCCAGATAAACGTGATGTTTCTCCCGTTCGCACTCCAACCGTCTTCGTACCTTCATCCCCAGTGGCCAGCTCATCCGCAGTTCCTGATGTCGTGATTCCAACGGTCACACCTGCACCATCGGCCGTTTCGCGCTTTCTGAACCGTTTCTCACGTGCCAGAGGTACTGGATCTGAGCGCAAGTCTATTGCTCTGTCAACAGACGACCTTGATTTCCTTTCCGATATTGTGCCAAGTGCACATGACCCCGATTACGACACGGATGATGCCCCGCTGAAAGCGCTGTCGAGTTTGATAAATTCAAATCCAGCACCATTGCCTACAAAGCTTCCACCCCCACTCGCACCACCACCAAAACCTCCATCTGTGAACGCCAGCCGACCTTCTTCCGTCGGTCTGAGTGGCTTGGGCATTACGCTGGAGCCTGCGCGTAGTTCTCCGCATCATGCTTCTGCTCGTGCTCTATCGCTGCCGCCACCATTGTCCCCAGTGACGTCAGAGATGTCGTTCTCGCGTCCTCATAGCCCGGCGGTACCTCCAAAACCATATTCACCAATTAATACAACTTTTTCTGCTTACACCAACCCAATAATACCAGCTGCAATATCCTCGCCACCTCAACCATCTTCAAGAACGCACTCGCCTCTTCAACTTCCTCCGCCACCCAAGGCGCCTTCTGCACTTTCGATACCACCACTCCTGCCACCCCCTGTCTCACCGCCGCAGACACCACGGCCCAGCGTGCATCCCATACCGGGAGCTACTCTCACATCATTCCCAAACACCGGCTGGGCAGCAGCCGCATTTCAGGATGATGACGATGACGATGACTCATTCTCCGCTTTCTCAACCCTCCCTCGCGCAGTTCCCTTCCCAGCACCTCGCGAGTCCATAGACTCATCTCTCAATTCACCATCCTCTGCACAAGCACTGAACTCCAGCAAGTCATCAAATTCGATGTCTTTCGACGACTTTGACGACTTTGTGACTTCATCACAGATCCGCACGCCCTCCCCGCCGCCCGTCCCAGCAAAGCCCTCAAAGATGGTTGGAGGAGCAGTAGCGGCAATGCCAAGCTCGCGGCCTGGCACATCTATACACATACGCACTCAGAGTCTTCTCGAACATGCTGCCACACAGCGCGGGCAGTGGCCATCCCCACTGAATGCGCATGCCAGCCACCCCGTGCTGCCACCACCACCATCTGCTTCTCCGTCATTTGGTCGGGATATGGATCTGTTGAGCGATAGTGGCGCAGTGCTGTCGGCGCCGAAGTTTGGGACACCGCCACCGAAGGTGCAGTCTACGATGGTACCTCAGTTGTCGCCGTCCCCGCCGCTTGCGCCGTTGCCCCAGCCGCTATTGTCATTTGCATCGTTGTCACCGTCGTCGTCGCGAGCCGAGAGGCCGCCTGCGAAGCCGGTTCAGACGGGTGGGCTGACTGCACAAGATCTGTCTTTCTTTGAAGGGTTGTGAGCAGTGAGATTGAAGTATTGGTTTATCACGGCGCAGATATGTAATAACGATTAATGAAATTTGGAAAATTTTGTTGAGCATAGTTAATTCTTCCATCGTCAGCAGCCCTGCTACATCAGTAAGACACGGCTGAGTTCTCCATAGGGAGGTAACAAAATGGAACACAACATATAATAGATGAAGGTACAAAATGAAAACATACAAATAACAAATATATCGCAGGGATAAACAGAACCATAAGCAACCAGAAATGAGTGATCAGGTATGGAGTAAAAAATAATTCCATCATCTTGATCATAGCTTCACTCACTTCCAGAAGTTCCACGCAGACTCACCCCGCGCATCGTCAACGCCATCGCGGCTCTTGTTCTTCCGACGATGTCCTGTGGAAGAAAAACACGACCGTGAGTTAGCGTTCGTGGACGCACGCAAACCGGATACGCACCAGGTGAATTCGGATCCGCATACTGCGAGGCGTAAGGCGCCTGTGGCTGCATTGAGTAAGTATCATATGTGAGGTTAGGATCTTGGGGTTGCCTTACGTAGTTCCGGGATCTGGATTGAGTGCTCCGTAATGAGCGCGTAGATCCTGCAGCTGGCGGTGGGACATGAGCTTCATATGGTGGAGGGCCTTGACTTGGCGGCGGTGCAGCGATGGCACGATTGTTATGATGAGATGGGAGAGGGTTAGGGTTCGAGGGTTGCTCGGCCCCATTGATCAGGTGGCGCTCAGTACCATCCGGGAATGAGTAGGTGACATGCTCGTTGCCCTAATGAATAACGAATGATTGTCGAGATAGAGAAAAATAAATAAACATCACTGACATGTGAATCTCTACGAACAGCTTTGGTGTGAGTAACGCCGTTTACAGTAGAGGTTGTGTAGCTCTCAGAAACCCATCTAGAGCCATTCGAGCCACTAGCGGGTGCCCCACGGGAAGAAGAGCTGTATACATTTACGTTTCCCCCGGTGAGGAATCCAAATGGTGAACTCGTAATGGGAGACATGGACATTGGAGACATGAACCCTCGACCAAAACCATCATCCCAATGGCTGAATGGATTACCGAATGGATCCCTTGAAAATGCTTGGTGGAGATCTCCAAACATCCGATTAAAGAGTATGAAAGGGTCTGTGAAGTCTTGGAAGTGCGGATGACGTGAGGATGGGAAGAATGGGTCTGCTTGGTGATTGCGACCGAAAAATGGATGTTGGGAAAAGGGGTCTTGAAAAAATGGATCTTGGAAGAGTTGTCTAGTAGGACGTTGCCAGTTGCCCTGAGTGTAACTCTCCTGGGCAGTCGGAGGAGGCCATACTCCGCACTGATCATAGGTCTGAAAGATAATTAGAATAGAATATAAAACAGTACAATTGATACGAACCTTGCGGTTTTCTGGGTCACTGAGGACTTCGTAAGCGTTATTAACCTAAAATACTTGATGAGTTCAATCTGCTTCGAAGAAATGAGCGTCTTGCCTCCGAAAGTTACCTTACGGAACATTTCCTCTGATGCAGATTTCTGCGCTGGAGAAGCGCCTTGAGGCAAGCGGTCAGGATGAGTTTCTAAGGCTTTCTTCCTATAAGCCTTGCGAACTGCAGTAGGGTCGTTAATTGCAAGACTCGGCCTATGATTGTGTGTTTGACTACATACTCTGGTCTGGAGTAGCATCTCTGCTCAAGCCAAGTGTTTCGTAGAGGTTGGTGGCCATACTTGAAGAGTGTCTGGAACGTCAAGAGCAGTACAAATACAATGGTCGTCTAGGTAGACTAGCACGAGAAGTGGAGAAGCTTAACGTTCAACGGCAGAAGGGGCTCAGAGTCTATGACATTCTATTGCCTCCGAAGTCTCCCGGGGCCTCGAGGCATGACAATATTTGCCTTTTCCGGATTTCTGCCAAACCTCTAAGCTTACAGCCAGAGCAAAGGTCAACGTTCAACCGTTTTTGGTATCTCGTTCCCACCTCTCTGCCACGTCAGAAGCATAAGGCCGTCACCTACTCCGACTTAACGATAGCAGGAACGTCACTTACAATATTCTTGAAGTCAATTACCAAGTGTCGTGATCCATTAGACTGCAACATCTTGCAATCAGATCCAAGCGGTCTGTACTAGTCGGACTCAATCTGCTACCAGTATCTCCTGCCGACTCGGATATTGTAATCGAGAACGGCTGCTCCCAGTAACGTTCCTAGTTCAAAGTTCATTTGATCAAACAGAGTTCAAACCCACTTCAATACGGCCGCCGCAACAAGGCTGATTGGTTGCTGTGGTGTTATTACTAGGTATGAACCACACGGTGTATATGATAATGCTTGGTTTTTCATCAGCGAAACGTTCCGCTAGGTTCGAGTTGCTTGCACGGTAGCCAAGTATATCCAGCAATTCATCATCAAGTAATAGAACAGGAAATTGAGCATAGCAAGAGTCGAGCTGATGTAACGTCCACGGTGCTCTCATCATGCCAAGTAATTCCTATCGAAACCTACCTCATCCAGCACTTCGAGCCTCATTTCACATTAATGGAACGGGGACTTGAGTTCATGATCAGAGTCGATGACACGTTCTCATGAATAGTATGCCAGTTCTGAGCATTCTTAATCTCACATGATTCTCAGCCGAACATACTGCTTCCTCTTCCTTCCATCGCCATCGAATGGATTCGAAATACTCTGTCGACGCCATCATAGCTGCTAGGAGTCTCCAAGTCTTTACGGTAAATTTTCCTCTAGACAATGCAAACAGCCTCTGATGAAACCAATCACTTCTAGTTCATATACAGTATGTGTTTCTTCGATGATTAGCAAATTGCGTCTGCTAAGCGACAATTCAGCGTCGATGGCTACATTTTGGGTATGATCGTCCCCATCTTCTTACTCTTGTATTCATCTTCGATTCCTATCTAGACATACGACTATGCCTGCTCGATGCGTGAGGAGGTGACAGATCATTTGCAAGATCAACTTCCTATCCTCACAATGCACCCTTTCAAGGGAATATTTTTGCTTTATTCCAGCTGGAACAGGGTAAAAATGTTGTACGTTGTGACACGATATGTGCCTTTCCTTCTTTTTTCTGTGCACCTGTATTGTAAGTCCTTAATTTCAATGAGTCTAAGATTACATATTGAAAGACTGTTGCCAGTGAACTTCGTCCCAAATGAGACCTCCAACGTACGTTGGCTCGTAATAGATAAGAACCCTGCTTACCTGAGGGCCAATCTAGATGTGCCAATTTATCAACAATATTTGCTCAAGTGCATCAAATTACATGTCGAAATTACGAGTCACTGACCTTCCCCCCTACAGCTTTTAGCCTGATATCCAGCATCTGCTCAGAATGTAATTGCTCTATTATCTTTATCACGGGTGTAGGGTCTTGATTTCTCCAGGCTTCTTCATCCTTAGGACTTACGCGCTATGGAATAACGATAAGGTCGTTTTGGCAGCTATGCTATCAACTTTTGCAGTGAGTTATGTGTAATGATGTGGCTTTCTGATGCGAACGCAGCATCAGGCTGTAATTATGGGGTCCATGGTTGCCCTCTTCACTGCGACTGCGACTGCGCCGTGTACGAATTACTCTCTTTCCCTGTCTGGAAATTTTGACCCAATTTTCATTTCACAGTTGAGACCAGTGCAATTCCAGGCATCACAGGCTGTTACCAGTCCTCAGGAAGTGCCAGGCTTTTTGTCCCCTTCCTTCTTTTGTTTGGATTAGAATTGAGTACGTCAATGAGAATTGATCCGTAAACGCCTTTTAACTCATGCTTGATACAGTGCTGATTTCCCTCACGCTCACATGTGCCATACGAAATTGGCGTACAAATAACAGCAGTTTGTATGTTGTTATATTGAAACACAATGTGTTATATTATGCATGTGGTCTATGTAAGTAAGAGTGTGGAGTGGTCAATTCTTGCTCATCTTTCCCACAGTTTTCTCGACCGTGAATGTTCTGACATCGCTGCTGCTCGATGTATGTCATCCATCTGCTACAATATTTCCTTGTAACTGAGATCTCATGCAGTACGCATATAGCGGCATGTTTCAAGAGTACGTCTTTGCCGAGGTTTACTAGCAAGCAACACTTATAACTTGAATTCTCAATCATGCGTTTAGTTTCCAATTTATCATTCATGCCATGCTCGCCACTCGAATGCACCTCCATCTATGGCATGCCGACTACAAACGTGATTGTAATGCCTCGGATCTAATCTCTCTCTCCCAGTTGGAACCCGCACCCTATATCGAGTCAGCCTAAGTATTAGCGTATTTGCTCTCACAGAGCGGTCTGGAAAGAAGGGAAGATTGCGATTGACTGCTACAGTTGGTTTGCCCGGCGAGAACAGATCATCACTTGTGATGCTGTGACGGGGAAACTTACGCATGCGTCCGAAGTGGCTCCTGGAGGGCCACAAACGATTCTCATTGGATGGCCCGTCGGGATCGGTGGAGGTCTTCGAATCAGTGCAAATTTACTGTATAATAAGTACAATACTGTTTATGATGTGCACTCCTTTGTATGAGCATGCAGATATTTACGAGTGGAACTCGTGAAACTTGTCCTCTCTACGAACGCCCAGAGACAGCGTCATGTACACTTGTGTAGGGTGCGGCATCTCTCTGGCAGACCAGGCGGTGAAGACATCGAGTTCCACGAGGGGCCGAGCGTCCCTCAGCGGTTGTCGATGTTCCGTATGCTAAGGGCAAACGTGTCTGTCATCTTCAAGTTTGTCCTTCTCGAATATCCAACCCATCTCATATCACGTAGAGGAATGTATCAGCAAGAGAAAAATAGATGAAAATCATTCCATTGAAACCCGGAAAGCCTGCCGCAAGCACCGCATGTCCCCCCAATAGCAACGCCACAGCACACTCTAATGGTGCGGCTCAAGCAAAATCTTTGCAAGCACAAGCTGCTGTCTCCGTCTCCGCCGCACTTCCGGCCGTAAGTCGGACGAGTACTAACATGCAATTTAACGTCCAGTCATAATTCCCACGGCTGCTACTGATCAAAACTTTGAATTGACCGTGACGCATCAACATCCCCGAAATTTATGATTCTGCAAGAAGTGGTACTATGTGCCACTGCACCCCAGGCCCTCGGTTCTGGCTCAGGCGCAATCGTTCTCCATGACGTACAGACTGGTACGTCGCTCGCATCCTTCAAGCAATCCAGCTCTGCACCGCACTGCACGTCATTCGTCGAAACGCGCGATGGTCAAGGAGGGTTCATCCTCGCAGCACAACAAGACAAATCCATTTTAAATGTCTACAACTTCCAAAAGGTAGGTCTTATGTTTCTGATATGGCTTTCATCTTTCTTAGTGCATCATAGGACCAACTTGCTTTCAAAATAGTCCTTCCTGAGAGGCTTTCGTGTATTGCGTTGGATAATGCGGGAAGCTTCTGCGCGGGAGGGACGGCCCAAGGTCGAATATATTTGTGGGAGGCGCGTCAGAGAATATAATATGTCAGGTGGACCCCAGCTCAATTTCTGACAGTAGGTCGCGTCAGGCATCTTGTACAACTCTTGGGACGCCCACTATCGTCACGTTAATGTCCTGAAATTCACCCATGACAGTGCTGCCCTTATTTCAGGCAGCGATGACTCTGGTGTTAGTGTTTGGTCTGTAGCAAGGTCCGTTGTGAATTTCTTGTCCTTGTCGTGTTGTTGACAGCAATGTAGACTTGTCGACAATGACACCCAAAATGAACTTCCGACTCCATATTGTACACTATCAGACCACACCCTACCAGTGAAAGATATCATTTGCGGCCTTGGTGCATTCCCTACTTGTCGTGTCCTTACCGCGTCCCTCGATCATAGTGTAAAAGTGAGCTCGTCTTTCTAGTTGCGGTTGCTTTTTTTCACCTCGGATACGAAGATCTGGGATCTATCTTCTCAGTCGTTGTTGACTACCTTCCACTTCCCCAAACCCATATCATCAGCAGTTTGGGACATCACCGAACGCTCATTTTTCGCTGCCTCACCGGATGGCTCCATATACCAAGTCAACCTTTTTCGCCAGCGAACTGAAAAACACGCTGGCCAGACGATCGAAGCTGTTGGAGGCGCAGGCGTCAGCGATATCATCCGTGTCGCTGACGAAGACAGCAACAGTCGAAAACGACTCATATCAGTCGAGTATGCCTTTCTCGTACATTCCCTAGCATATGACTAGCTGACGCGTCTCGAATACAGTCAACCAATAACAGTTCTCACCATCTCCCTCACCAGCTCGCTTCTTCTCGTGGGTACCGCCACGGGGCTCATCCACATCTACGACATTGCCTCCCACCAGCTCCTTCGTACCATCTCGACGCACAAGGGCATGTCAATATCCCATCTCACGACTATGCTCAAGCCGCCTGACCTTGTTGGACACATCAGCTTGTCCCTCAACCTTGGAAGTTCCGCCGATGCAAAAGACATCATTCCTATCCGCTCTGTTGTCCCGTTTCACCGCATGAAAGATTCAAAGGCAAGGGAGGCGCACGAGGTGGCGATGATGCTTCCCGTGCAGGACGAGGTAGGTTTTCTTCTGTTGTAATGGGTACTCTGCTTATGTTGATATTCGCCCCTTAAGACCCCTGGAGGCATACCAAGCGCTTACGACTACCCCGAAGCCGATTTTCAACGGGACCATGCGTTTTTCGTACAACCGAACGCGATTGGCACCTCTGAGGCATCGAGTGCGCGCGTTGCTGAGCTTGAAGCTGAGGTAGAGAACTTGAGAGAACAACTTGGGAAGGCAAAGGGGATTAACGACGTGATGTGGGAGACGGTTGTGCAGAAGATCATGACACAGGAAAAACAAAAGGCAGCTGTGGAAGGCCAGAATGCCACTGTACCAGGTGAAGGCGAGAATGAAAATGATGTAGAGAGGCCGAGAAAGAAAGGCAAGAAGACGGAAAGTAAGAAGTAAATGATCTTCCTACTCAAATAATTATTCTAATTTTCTTCAAGTTAACACAGGAAGGATTCCCTGATGAGATCACGCAGTCTTCTGATGGCCACGGTGATTTTTTGCCGTGGGGTTTTGAAGCAGATGCGACACACTGTCCATTAGTCCCTGACTCACCGTGCCAACCAACGTTTATCTATCTACTGTTCTCCCGCGCCCAGTCACCTATAAGCTCCTATAGGTTGATTGTAGTAGTCCGGACAATGTAATGGAGCCATACGCGAAGTTCGACTATAACATGAGGACTCATCTTTTCTGTTCTTTCGTCACTCAGCTTCCTTCTTGTTTATTCACTTCTGCTAGGTTGTGTTAACGCTCTGAATCAACGTCACTTGGCTGGACCTGTGTCTTGCTGGTATCGGAGTATATCTGCTCGATCATGTGTTGAACAAGAATCCTGCATGATGTCCCCAGGCCCCCGTGAGTAGCCTCTCGGTGGGAACATACGAGACACGTCAATCCTCGGCTCACCTTTGCAGGGTGGGACAAGAAGTATATACGCAGGGTGAGTGTCTCCTGTTGTTCCAAGATAGATCCATTCCAACTCTGTGCCTTCCGAATGCTATGTCGTATTCAGCAGACAAAGTACGATCTGCCAGGAGATTCAAGGTGAGGCATCGAGACAATACCACTATCCTGTAAAATGTTTAACTCATGATTGCAACACCACAGATGTCTGTTATTATTTGATCCTTGACAAATTTGTATTGAGCATCAACCATCTCGTCGACGCACAAGGCCGATAAACCCACAGTATTTGCCCAGGTATGACCAACCTAGAAGGTGTCGATTAACACACTCCTCTGAGTCTTTTATTTTTGATTAGATCGGTATTCATCTCGACCTGCATATCTACCGCGATGTTACTCGCCATTTTTGACATCTCCAAGGTCGTCGAGAACGGCGTTGGGATCACCCCCGAGCTTAACCCTTCATCAGGTATGTTTTATATCTTATCTCGTCTAGATAAAAACCCTTCAAGTACTTTATCAAGCCTCGCTCTGCGAAAGCCATTGCGCTCATTCAGCAGGATGCTAATTACTGATTATATAAGCGCCCAAGGATCACATACACGTAGGGATTTACCTATGGGTAGCCGTTTTTTCACACCGACACCTAGATCAGTCACATTATTTGTATTTCACATCACAGGGCAAAAACTGTGGTGCCACGTATCGAGATATCCTACATTGTCATCGGAATGACTCATGATACATATTCTCGTATGAAAAGCGTATCAGCGTATCTGGCGCCTCCTGCCCATTGGTCGCGATTTCCGTTCAAGGCTTTGCGCATGCTGACACCCTCGACTACTTCCCCCTCAGCTCGCATATCAGTTTGTAAGCCCTTTTCCTATAGTTACTGTCTCCATGCCTTGTTATTAACGCTATTGGCTGCAGCCTACGATTATATCGTGCTTTCCCTCGCTAAATTTTCCCTGCAATAACCATAAAGATTCTAGGGCCGTCGCAATATTGCTGTTGGTTTGCAGTCAGCCGGTCACAAATGACCGGACACAATAATGGCCATTAATCACTGTGCCAAAACTTTGTCCGCCTTCTTGAACTTTGGATCGTTCCTTGATTTTTTAGCATGGAGATCGGGACTTGTATTCATCTAGTCACATATAGGTTGATCACACGTAGGCAGCCTAGCTGCCTACGCATATAATGTCCAGGAGAGGACTCCTCTTACCAATATCTCATCGCTCACTACACGATCTCTTGCTCTTTCTCAGCTAGCATGCTGATCTTCACCAATATCACTTGGCTGGACCTATGTCTTGCTAGTGCCGGAGTGTATCTGATCAAGCAAGCATTCAGCAAGAAGAACCCTGCACCATATCCCCCTGGACCTCTGGGGTGGCCTCTCGTTGGGAACGTCGCAGACATGCCTCACACCAAGGCCTGGCTGACTTTTGCCCAGTGGGGCAAGAAATATGGTGAGTACCTCGTGTTTCCCACCACAATACACTTCAATTCCATGCCGGCCAGGTGACATCTCGCATGTCGAAGTTCTGGGTCGGCACATCATTGTACTGAATTCTGTCAAGGCAGCGATAGAATTGCTAGACAAAAAAAGCTCTGTGTACTCGGACCGTCCGGTTCTTACCATGGGTGGTGAACTTGTTGGCTGGAAGTACGCTTTGGGTCTTCTCTCTTATGGTGACCGTTTTCGCTATTACCGCAAGAACATTCACCGCCTCATTGGCAATCGCGCTGCTATGGATATCTACGAACCAATCGAGGAAATCGAGACCCGCCAATTACTGAAGCGCATATTTGCAAAACCCGAGCAATTGCAAGCACATATTCGACAGTATGTGGCATTTGTCATTGCATGAATGGGGCCTTGATTTTTATAGCACCGCTGGCGCTATCATTCTGCGAATCTCTTATGGATATGAGGTGAAGGAGAACCATGATCCCTTCATTGACGTTGCAGACCGCGCTATGAACCAATTATCGCGGTCCACCGATACTGGTGCCTTCATGGTTGACATCATGCCATGGCGTAAGACTACGGAATTCTGACATGTGCAATGACCTGACTATCTCTAGTGGCCAAGGCTCCCGAGTGGTTTCCTGGTGCTGGATTCAAGTGCTTGGCCCGTGAATGGCGTCAGACCCTCGAAGAGATGGTTGATGGACCATACAAATTCGTCAAGGATCAGATGGTAACCAACACCTACAGTTCAGCGATCACGAGTTGAACATATCACAGGCTGCCGGAGTTGCCCCAGTATCTTTCACCTCGAATCTGTTGCAAGGCCGTACTTTGTCTGCGGAAGAGGATCACATGGTGAAATGGTCTGCTCTATCCCTATACTCCGGTGGCGCCGACACGGTTAGCTCTTCCCTTCATATTACAGATTAGTTGTTATATCTTGAAACTAACACCTATCTCCACAGACAGTCTCTACAATTTATTCGATTTTCCTGGCGATGACACTGTTCCCTGATGTGCAGAAGAAGGCTCAGGTTGAAATAGATGCTGTTGTTGGCACTGATCGTCTTCCCTCCTTCGCAGACCGTAACTCCCTCCCCTATATCGAGGCCCTTGTGAAGGAAGCTCTGCGCTGGAATGTTGTCGCCCCTACAGGTATGCATTTATTGTATTCTTTTGATTGCCGAACGATATTAATCGCTTCAAGACAGGTATCATCCACTGTGCCTCTGAGAACGATATCCATGACGGGTACTACATTCCGAAAGGATCCTTGATCATGTCTAACATTTGGTTAGTGCTCACATTTATTTAGATTCGACATGCTAGAATTTCATGCCAGGTTCATGCTCAATGACCCGCAGACATATGCTAACCCCTCGCAATTCAACCCTGAACGCTTCTTAGACAATGACGGAAAGGATCCCGAACGCGAGCCTCGCACGATCTGCTTTGGCTTTGGTAGACGGTATGATGCCATGGAGTTGATTTTGAGTGGAATGATAACTTTCTGCTTCGCAGGATCTGCCCCGGTATGCCCAACTCACAGAAGTACCCTCAATAAGACATTATTGTGATATTTGCTTGCTTTTGATGTACAGGTCTCCACCTCGCTGATGCTTCCATCTGGTTATCTACGGTGATGTCACTCGCTGTGTTTGACATTTCCAAGATCGTCGAGAACGGCGTTGAGCACACCCCTGAGGTTGACTCCTCGTCAGGCACGATCAGGTATGTTGTGTATCCTATCGTATTCGCGGTGCTAGTTTGGATAGACGTACTCCCAGCCATCCCAAACCCTTCAAGTGCTCTATTAAGCCTCGCTCTGCGAAGGCTGTTGCGCTCATTCAGGAGAATGTTAACTATTAAGGCCACGAAGATTATCCTTGTTTGTCATGCATTCCGATATCGTACATATCTTGTTGTATCGATGCTACTCATGATGACCTGGTCCACATATAATACACACACATCTGGCACCTTGATGGCACCCGGCGACTCAACAAGGAGCAGGCTCACGTACTTAAGATCTCCTGTCGATGGCCAACACCTTTATGCGTGGCAACCATCCTTGACTCAACCGTACCCTTCTCCCGGCGTGCTCAGTCACCTATCAGCTCCAATAGGTTGACTCCAATAGTTCCGATAAGCTCTACGCGAAGTTCGAGTATAACATCGTGTTCATGGCCGATGACTCGCGGACATATGCTAACCCCTCGTAATTCGACCCTGGACACTTCTTGGCTGAGGGTGGAAAGGAACCTGAGACGCAAGATCTGGTTTGGCTTTGGCAGACGGTGACCCTGGAGTTAGTTTCGAGCTAAATGCCCCACAGTATTTGCCCAGGTATGACCAACCCAGAAGGTGTCGATCAACACAGTCCTCTGACTCGCTTGTTTTTGATTGGATAGGAGTTCATCTCGCCGATGCCTCGACCTGTATATCTACTGTAACATTACTCGCCGTTCTTTTTGCATCTCCTAGGCCGTCGAGAACGGTGTTGAGATCACCCCCGAGCTTGACCCTTGATCAGGTTCTGTTCTAGATAAACACGCTCTCAAAAACCCTTCAAGTGCCTCGCTCTGCGAAAGCCATTGCACTCATTTAGCAGGATGCTCATTACGAAACGGACAAGGAGTTTATTCGCTGTGAGTGGCCGATTTCACATCTGACACCTAGATCCGTCACATGATTTGTATTTTATGTGACAGGGCAAAGAGATATCGTAGTGACATTGCCTTCACAATACACATACTGGTATGTCATAAAAGCGTTCACGGTCTACCTAACGAGCCTGATCAGCGTACCTGGCGCCTCCTGCCCATATTATGCTCTTCTTCCGTTCGAGGCTTTGCGCAAATATTGTGGTCACCCTGAATTACTTCCCCAACAGCTCGCGAACAACTTCTCGTCCTGAGTGCAGTATCTCGCATGCACGCATGCACGCATGGTCTTCGCTTCTTCTTGTTGTCGCTCATTTGAGAGGCCAAGGCACGTGGGATACGAATTCACCTGTAAGCACACTGGCTTACTAGAGTTCCTAAAATACTGACCGCGATAATGAAACACAAGCTTTCAGTGTCACTAGTACCTGGACGATAGTCTTGACTACTTACGTCATCTTCTAATATAATCCTATCCTCCCAAATCGGTTTCAACTTTCCTATGTGGGCCTATAGTTACTGTCTCCGTGTCTTGTTATTAACGCTATCAGCCGCAGCCTACGATTACATCGCATCTTTCCTCGCTAAACTCCGCCTACGATAACATAAATATTCCAGGGCCACCACAACATTCATATTGCTCTTTGACCGTCCATCAATCACCTCCTTGAACTTTGCATCGTTCCCTCATTTTCTAGGGTGGAGAGCGGGACTTGTATTCGTCATCTGACTCGGACTCATCGCTCACTACACGATCTTTTGCTCTTCCTCAGCTAGCATGCTGATATTTACCAATATCACTTGGTTGGACCTATGTCT